TCGCTAAGATAATTATCCATTATCCGCAACAAGTAGGGCGGCATGTTTTTCTTTTTCATCGACTCGATGAGATCTTTCCATCTTGCGGAATTAAACGCGTTGCGTATGTCAATTGCTACCAACGCGCAGAAGATCTTCTCTTTTCCAGGTCCCAATTTGTTTTTTCCTGCTTTGGCTATGTTCACAACTGCCTGGATGGCACCAACTGTGGACTTGCCTATACGGAAACCAAATTGGTGATCGGATAGACGATTCTCTTCGGTCAAGTGGCTTTGCATTCTCTGCAGAACCATATCCTCTAGAAGTTTACCCATCGTATCTAGCAGGCATATAGGCCTGTACGATGAAACCTTATCTAGAGGTTTTTCACCTTTCGTTTTTCACCTTTTAGAGGAGAGTTCTTCCGCGACTGGAAGCGACAGAGGTTGGTACCTCTGTCGCTTCCAGTCGCGGAAGAACTCTCCTCTCTCAAGGCAAAGATTAAAGCACCGAAGCAGAATCTGGGGTGAAGTGTCGATTACCAACTTTAGGATCTCGTTACTTATCCCATCGATTCCAGGCGCCTTGCCTGTATTCAATCTTTTGCCTGCTTTTGGCAGTTTACTAAGTGTGAAGAGTTCTTCATCTTCGACTTTGCAAGAACTCCAGTCCCTTCTAAGGTATGGTTCCGCAGGAGGAAACAAAGGACTTATTATCTTTCTGACCCAATCGGGATTATCCAGGCCGGGGGTCTTTTGCCTCGTCACTAATTTCTTAGTCACGATTTTAAAAGTCAGACCCAATGGGTCCTTATCGACTTCCTCGATTAGGTCCTTCCAGCTACGGCGTCGCGACTTGCGGATCTCTTTTTTGAGGTTATTTTTTGCCTCCTTGAAAGCCTCTTTCAGCAAAGGATCTCCCTTAGATCGGGTGTATGTCCTTCTTGCTTTGAGGCATTCCTTTCTCAAGGAGGCCAGCTTCTCTAACCACCAGTGCAAGGATTTTTTCCTTGGATAGGCCCCTTTGCGACGTGGCATCGATGCATTGCAAGCGGTGACGATTATATTTCGCCCCGCTCGCACCTCTCCATTTAGGCAGAAGTCGGCAAGTCACAGCTAATTCAGGCTTTTGCAACTTCTTCTTTAAGACGGTTAAAACGTCCGCCTCTGAAGTTGTTTCGTCGAGTTCCCGAATTTCGAGGGTCTTTTTACTGACAAGAGCCGTAACCTCGGCCTTGTCCTGAAGGACGGAGGTAAGATTCTCAGCGAACTTTGAAGTTTCACCCCCCCTTTTTGACAACAAGAACCTCCTTTTTAAGAGTTCTCCTAATTTTCACAATCTCTGTGCCAGTTTCCTCTTGCTTTACCGAAGTTGTTGCCAGTTTTATAAGATCATAGTAGGTCTCTGGATTCCGGGCCGAAATTTTTATTGCCTCCGTGGTTCTAATTTTGGGGGGGCGTTTCTGAAGTCTCTGCCTCTCTTCTGCTTTCTTCAAGGCCTTTCTCTTACGGGCCTCCCGTTTCCTATTGGAGACGGTTTCGTAGTCTTTTTCTTTTTCAGGCTTATTTTCCACAGTTGCCTCCGAATAAGAAGCAGCCCTGGCCGAAGCAGCCTTACTCACCTCCGTCTCCATAGCAGTAGGGTTTGCCTTGGTCTCTTTGCTCTTAACCCTCTTGCCCTTGGGAGTGGTCACAGTAGAATCAGTCTCCGGACCTTCAAACTCTCTAGGGCGCTTTCTTTGGTCGATGGACTTGCTCTCGCTGGATGTGGCGTGCAACATTGATCTAGGAGTTTTAGGATTCGACCTTGGTTTGCTTGGGCTAATGAAGGGCTTAGGTATAAAACGCAGGTTACTGCGAAGCACCTTGTCCACCTTCCCCAATGCCACCATTCCATCCTGAACATCCTTGCTAATGTTTCTTTGCTTTCTGCAGGCACGCCACATACTTTCCAGTATTTTAGGAATCAGATCGACCTGTTCTAAAACATTTCCTTTGAATCTGCTAAGTCCCACATCCTCAGAATTTTTGCTTTGGCTACCTCCTAAATCCTTGGAGCCGTCTGCACCGACTACCGTGGCTTCAACCCGATCAGAATCGGTAGTGGGATTACCCTCTTCTGAGGTATCCACTTGGAGTAATTTTTTCAAATCTTTATCCATTTCATATTTTTTTATTCTTTGTCCCGTGTCGATGGACAATCGGGCCTTAACAGGGTACTACCATCTGGCCAGGATGGGCCCTCAACCGCCTCCGTTAGTTACATAGGCGTTATAGCATTGCCGGAGCATTAATGCGACGTCTATGATATCCAAGGGCACGTGACCATGTATGTTCGGACGTGGAGGTCGATGTGTTTCTCCAAGATAACAGGAAGTTTCCGCAAAGGGAGTGCATCCTGGTATCTCTTCACAGAGTTTACCCTCATTATTATTATTATTATTATTATTATTTTTTGCTTAAGGAATTTTGGGAAATCTGGCTATAGATACCTTGAATTCCGCACTCCAAGGTTATGTGGGGTTGGTATGATAAAACAAAAGGAAATACAAAAAAGTAAAAATAAATATATAAAATAGTAAATTTAATAAACTGTCGACCTACTGCCAGCCCGATCCACTAAAACCCGTAATTCTTCTTCTGGAGCCCTTTACCCTCCTTTGGAACTGTCGTAAGACTTTAGCCTTCGAGGGTGGCGCTCCAACTCTGTTGCTAATGCGACCTTCTTCTTCTCTCTGCGGTTTCCCTGCGTCCGTAGTTAAAAAAATTATTAAAACTATTTCATAGTCTAAGCGAAATTTACAGCACAACAATAATTTTAAAAAAAACAAAAATCTTTTAAGAAGTTTAAAAAGTCAAAAGTTAAAATCGCAAACGGATATAAAAAAGAGAAGAAAACAAAGTAAACACGTATATAATGGTGAAAAGACAAAACTGTACAAAGATGAATAAAAAACACAAAACAATAAAAAAATGTATAAGGACAAATAAATCACAAAATAAATTAATAAAAAACAAACAAAACAAATTAAAAGCTGTTTAAATTACGCCTTTTGGCGACCGTCGAGATCCTTCCTCGACATTACCGAGATTATAAAGTTCTCGACATGCCGCCAATTTTCTTCTGACTGGGTCATCAGCGATACCATGTTCTCCGGTGTAACTTGTCTGTTTACACCTTCGAACATGGCCCGTCTCTCCAAGTCCCATTTCTTGCATGAGAAGAGGGTGTGCTCCGCGTTGTCCTTAGGGAACTGGCAATATGCACACACCTCGTCCTCGCGTAATTTAAGGGGTTACATGGGTCAAAACGACCTAAATACGTATGTTTTTTTAATAATTTTTTTTCCATAAAATAAATAAATTTTTTTATTTGAACACTTTGGTATCTGAAAGTACACTATTAAATGAGAAAGATATTAAATTTTTGATAAAAAATATTAAAAATCAGGCTCGTAGCAACAGTTCTTTGGGCCCCTTTAAAAAAAATTGCTTTTTCGGTGGTCAAGATATCTTTTGACTGCTTCATCTAAAATCAAAATACAAAAAATTTTCTGTTAGTGGGTGAATATATCTCGTGATTGAACGAAGGGTTTTTAAAGAAATTGAAATTTGGATGTTTGACCGTGTCTTTTATCAAAAGTTAAAATTTTTAGAACCATTAAGACCATGTAAAATCGGTTCTAATTAACAAAAAAAATATTCCTTCGTTCAATCACGAGCTATACTCATCCACTAACAGAAAATATTTAGTTTTTTTATTTTCAATGAACCGGTCAGAAGATATCGTGACCACCGCTTTTTTGGAAGGGTTCTCAAAGAACCTGTAGGTACGGCCCTGATTTTAAATATTTTTTAACGAAATTTTTACAAGTTACTCTTTTAATAGTGTACTTTAAGATATTAAAACACTCAAATAAAAAATTTATTTATTTTATGAAAAAAAAATAATTAAACAATCATACATTGTCTGGACGTTTTGACCCATGTAACCCCTTAAAGCGACACAGGACAGCTTTAGTTTAGAAACCCTGAACATTATGTTCGCTTAGAAGATATTTATTTAGGTCCAGCTGTAGCAATAGCACTTGCTCAGAATTCAGGTAATTTCGATCGTCAAGAATTTGTTACGTTCCCGGTGTGTCCTAGCGTGGAAGCCTCGAGGAAGCGCGTGATTACGGTCGGCGGGCCGACGAGTTAGGATTGTGTCGGCAAGACACGGATGAGTGCCGCCGTGCGGGATGATGAGCGCCGAATGAGAGAGTTATTTTGAATGTGTAGAGAGAGAACACGGACACTTGGTCGCGGTAGTGTCGCTCGGTACCGGGACGGGGAAGGCGATGTAGGGGATGGCCGATTGTGTCCGTGTCTGTGTGCGTGATGATAAAAACCCACAAGAAAGTGATTTAGGAGAGTCCACGATGTACACCGAAGGAAGACATGGGCGTTCGTGGGGTGTAGTAATAATCACGTGGGTGCGGGAGAACCGGGGTCGGTCGACTCAGTCCTAAGAAGAGAGGGCGAGTTTGCCCCGCCGATGTGTCGAAGGGACAACGATGTGCTTTCTCCTTCGGGGAGAGAAAAATGAGACAGGAACTAGACCTGTGCGGTCAAGCGTGTAGCCCCAGTATCGGGGGGGATGAAGGTGATACTAAAGGGAAAGGGAGGGCCACCAACCAGAGGGTCGAATTACCCCTGAGTGTCAGCTAATGAGTCCCAATTAAGTTAGGTTCGAGAGATAGAGAGAGTCGCGGACTCGTCGTGTGCCGTATTGTGATATCCAACATATTTGAGGAAGAGCGACTAACCAAAGGGCCGAGTGGTGAGCCGAGTATTAGTGACGATGGAAAAATGTTACAAATGAACGGTGAAATGGAGTTAAGAATTCGTTTGCTTGGAGGCGGGGTAAAGTCAATGAGTCAAACAAGGTAAAATTAACAACCATATATTCTGTCAACCCCCTTTAAAGTTCCCCTTACACAAAATTCTTCTTTCTCTTATACAATTTGATGAAGTTTTAGGTCAATGACGGGGCTGACGTTGAGTCGCCCTTGACCGCGCCGGTGGGGCCCGTCCGGCAAGCCTTTTTAACCGCTCGAATGTGGCGTTTTTCTGCACGGGAGCGAAGCGGGTCGTTCGCTGGACGGTGGGCCTGCTTCGTGACTTGGGTTCAGAGTCGTCCAGTAAGACGGATAAGCCCAAAACCTGTTTATGCGCTGGTGATGGTCCAAGTCGGGAGAAAGCTGAGGAACCGTTGGTCGGCCGAAGGGAGTCGGTCTTCTTCGGGATAGTGTATCCTAACAGGGGCCGAGGTCGCCGATTCTCTTTGTCGGTCTCCTCATCCACTAAGATGGGCAGATCCAGGGCCCGTTTAGGGGTCGAAGACGGCAAGGTCCTGGAGGTACACGGGAAGCAAGCCAACTCAACTATCTCCGGGATGGTGATCGCCTGATTGGTGAGCCGAGGTCCAACCTGATTATGTCGTCGTCGCTGTCGGATGACAGGGCTAGATCCACGGCTAGACTTACGAGCGGGGTCAATGCCCGTGGAACCGGTGGTGGAGGTGGAACGCTCGGAAGTCCTCCGAAGGGTGTAATCGAGCTCCGGGTAGGTCTTACCCCGATATTCTCAATCCGGGGAGTCTCCCTGACGAGCGGCTGGCCTGAGTTCTCTGGAGGTCCGGTGGCAGGGGCCTTCGACACGGGGTGTCTCGCTGACCTTATAGGTGGAGCCGGCGTAGTGGGGGCCGGCTGTGGTAGCGAGACATTCGGGGGTCCCTTAACGAGAGTAATCCGGCCCTGGGCAGGTCTCGTCTCGATGCTCCGGATCTGGGGCAGTCTTCGGGTAGGTGGTGCGCCTGAAGTCGCTAAAGGGCCTGTGTGGGGCACGTCGAGGGCCCTTTCCCTGATATCCTTGTCAGGGCGTGGAGCGATGAGCCGGGGGCGGTTCGGTCGCACCGTTACCGTTTGTCTCTTCTCTGGTGTCAACTTCAGTAACGGGGATGGAGCTACGTAGGGCTGTCTGTCAAGCTCCTGCAGCAGGGCCTCGAGTTCCTGGAGGACAGCGGGAGTCTCGACTATTGGTCCCCAAGATGACCCTCCTGGGTTGGTAATCGGGGTCGCCTGGTCAACCTCGATGGGAGCCGAGGGATTGGAGGCTGGTCCTGAAAACTGCGCTCCCTGTTCGGCGACGTATCCTCTGACGACCTCGATTGGGGCCAGGAGATTGAGAGCTGTCTCTGAATACGACGCTCCCAGGCTAGTGAGGTACTCTTGGGCGACCTGGATTGGGGCCGTGGGACTGTGGACTGGTTCCGATGATGGTGCTCCCTGGCCGGTAAAATATGCCTTGATGCCCGTGATTGAGGTCACAGAGTTGGAGGCCTTCTCCAATCGGCGGAGTAACTTTTGCTGCTTTTTGTACGCCTGGATTTTCCAGCCGCGGGCCCGATTCCTCAGTAACTGCCTCTCACTTCGGTGTTGTCCCATCTATTAATGACAGTAAGTTAGGGTTAGTTGGGGAGTCCATTCCTCAGGTGGGTGTAGTGTTCGGACGGCTTTGTATCAGGCTAGGCTCCAACCTAAGGCCGTTTGTGTGGTAGAGGCGAATGTACGTGCAATCATGCGTTAAGTAGGACTTAACCTATGATTCGCGCATGTGCGTAGGTGGATAATGTCTTAAAAGAGCTCGGACGGTCTTGCGCCGGGCTTCGCCCAGCCTAAGATCGTTTGTGGGGTGTGTGTTGGTATGTGTGTATAATCATGCGTCTAAGTATCACTTGACCTATGACTGCGCAAGTGTGGAAGTGTGGAAATGTTTGAGAAGTGTTTGGCTGGTCTCGCACTGGGCTTGGCCCAGCCTAAAACCGTGAGTGTAATGTGTGTGAACGTATGCACAATCATGCGTTAAGTAGAACTTAACATATGATTTGCCCATGCGTAGGAGGGTGAATTTGTTGAAAGTGTTCGAACGGTTTTGCGCCGGGCTTGGCCCAACCTAAGATCGTTAGTGTGTGAGAACGAATGCACAATCATGCGTTAAGTAGAACTTAACCTATGATTTGTGCAGGCGTGGAAGTGTAGAAGTGTTTGAAAGTGTTCAAACGGTCTTGCGCCGGGCGTGGCCCAACCTAAGATCGTTTAGTGTAGTGTGTGAGAGCGTATGCACAACCATGCGTTTAAGTAGAACTTTAACCTATGATTTGCGCAGGCGTAGAAGCGTGAAATTGTCGAAAGTGTTCCAATAGTCTTGCGCCGGGCGTGGCCCAACCTAAGATCGTTGGTGTAGTGTGTGAGAACATATGCACAATCATGCGTTTAAGTAGAACTTAACCTATGATTTGCGCAGGCGTAGAAGTGTGAAATTGTTGAAAGTGTTCCAATAGTCTTGCGCCGGGCGTGGCCCAACCTAAGATCGTTAGTATAATGTAAGTGGATGTACGACCATGCATTAAGCTCAAAGAACTCAACCTATGATCTGTATCTTGTGTGTGTGTGTAAAATGTAAGGGTGAAGTGCGATATTGCTTACCGTGTCGGAAGGTAGGAAGATTAAAACCACAGAGAGGCACTGTACTTTTAGTTTTCACTTTATTCGTGTCACAACGAGAGATCCGGAAAAATCAATGAAGATCGATGGCTGATGACTGATCTCTATGGTGAAAACTTAAACCCTTTTATATCCGTGAACCCTTTTATACCCGAAGGGTCGCCATATTTTTGGCGCCCCATGGAAGGGGTAGAATTTTCGTACCTTGCGCATCACTCGTGAAACCATCGATTCGCATGGATTTTCCTGTTTTCCTCTTATCTTAAATTAATACATAATATTCTTAAAATTAATTATGCTAACAATTTATTGTATTTTTATCTTATTTTAAAATAACAAAAATTTTAGGACTAAATTCGAAACTATTAATAATAATAATAACTTTCCGAAGAAAAATTATAATAATAATGGTAGTAACAATTAAGTTAATAATAAAAATATTGATAAGGTTCACAATAATGATAATCATAATAATAATATTAATAACAACGCTAATAATTATGAAAGTCTTAATAATAATACTAATGATAATAATAGTTTTAATAATAATGGAAATGATAATAATGGTTTTAATTATAATCATAAACTTAATACCAAGATTAATAATATTAACAATATTAATAATAGTTATAACATTAGTAATAGAAATAACATTAATTAATTCCATAATATTGATAATAAAAAAAAATAATATTAATAATATTATCAACATTAACACTAATTAAGTTATTGCCAGTATAATGTTATTAATAACAGCGAGCGAAGAAACGAAATAGAACGAGATATTAAATCTAATTGCAACCAGAAAGTCTTTCCCTTGGTCATTCTTTAGGATGCTTAAAACCGGAGAAAGTGTGTAGTTGGAAAATGTGGTCGGTTCCCCTTCACATTGGTGCGAGAGAGAAAGACATGAGAGAGAAAGAGACGCAACTAGTTTTATGTCAAAGTTGCGAAGGTCGTGTATTGTCACTGGAGGGCCCGGGTGGCGCGCCATTGGTGCGAGAGAGAAAGACGCTTATGTATTGAGTGGTGACTCCATATAGGCCATCATAATAGCATTGTATTACGTGAATTGAAGTGTTTGCCATTCACGTAATGCGTTTCTCAGCTCGGCGCCAATTTGGGAAAAACCCGTCTGGGCCCGTCGTACAACAAATTGCAGCATTTCAGATTGGATTGCCTAAATTTTTACATTGAAGCTGCTCGACAAATCTACAAACGCTTCCCGTTTAATTCTCCTGTGCAAAAAGCTTTATCTGAAATGAACACTATCGATCCTGCTTATTTCAAAGCCAATAGGCCACCTTCAGCCGCTCTCTTAGTCACTCTGTTTCCTCAAAACATGTTTAATATCGAATCCTTAGAAAGTCAATGGCGTTTGTTCAGAAATGATTCTTACGTTGACTCTCAAAAATCGGACGACTTTTATGAATTCTGGATTGGAATGTCCAAAATTTTGAACAAAGACGGTTCTCCTAAGTACGACATCGTTCTCGAGTTGGTTAAATCAATCGCAATATTGCCACACAGCAGTGCCGCTGTACAAAGACTGTTTTCGCAAGTTAATCTTAACAAAACAAAATTGAGAAATTCTTTAGACAACAACTCAGTTAGTGGCATTTTGCTCACTAAAGATTTCATTAAGACTGACAATTGTTGATATGAGCCTTAAGCATAATTCCAAAATGTATTAAAATAGTTTATAAAGATTAATGAGTTTTAAGAAAATATTTTAATATATCAAATGTTATATTAGTATGAAGAGAGAGATTTTAAAAAAATATATATGTATATTACTTTTTAAGAAAAGTTATAGAAAGAATGCTTCTATAAATTCTTTGTAGAACAGGGTTTAAAATTCAGTATTCTTTTAGAATATAAAGACTATAAAAATAATTTATTACTAGTCTGTGAAACCGTCATGTGATGTTACATAAAATAAAAAATTATTTTATTCAAAGAGTAAGTAATGTTTTAATATAAAACATTTTTTAATTTTTTCCTTACTTTCCAAATAGCATAAATTTAATACATTTTTAATTTAAAAAATTAAACTAATATGTCGCATGATAATTATTTAAGAAATACACATCGAAAAGTATGAGACAGGCTTTAAATCACATTTTGTAAGTTCATGGCAAGGTCTCATTTCATATTTCCCTGTGATAAAACATTAAAGTATAACCAAGAATAGTCTCTTGCAGCAAAATACAATTAACCATCAGAGAATAAATTTTGTTTGGTTGAAAAATATTCTAAAATCTAATGTAAAACCTTTTAGAACAAATATTCGTTATAATAATTATATAATTTCATAATATTTTTAAATCTAACTTTTTTAAAATTTAAAGATTTTTTTGAAGATTTTTTTCATAAGGTTTTGAAGATTTTTGAAGAAAAATTTTAGAATTTTGAAGAATTGTGATTTTGCTGGTCTGGCAGCACTGATAATAGGAAACCTGACCATGTTTCCTATTTATCCAGGTGGCGAGTGCCGGGATAAGGCGATAGGTCCATCGACCTTTTTTCTCACCATCCTATCTTTTTTGCCATCTTTCTATGAGCCTGTGCCTCGCTTCTTTGCGGATCAGGCCCTTGCTTGGTCTTAATTCCTCATCCCAGGAACTGCTTTCCTTAGAAAAGAGAAACATTTCTTCCCTTTCCCTCGCCAAAAGAACTGCTGGCGGAACACTTGCAAGGACCTGCACAGAACTCGTAGGACACTTGCCACCAGTCTCCGTTTGTGTTCACGGGGTCCGCCTACATTTGGCATTAACCGTGAAAGATTAGCCGCACACTCGATCGCCTTATTTGACGCCGTAGCCATGTGGTGGTGGAAGTTTAACCTTCCATCCAACTCCACACCAAGATATTTAATTTGCTTACTCCACTTGACCTCGAATCCGTCTATCACGATTCGTGGGAGCTCATAACCACGTCTGTCTGTGACCAGCAGTGCCTCGGTCTTTTCCAGGGCCATTTCAAGACCTCTGGTATCCAGCCAGCTTTTAGCTAGTCGCAGACATTCGTTCACCAATGTCCCAAGAGCCTCCTCACTTTCGGCAGTGCACACGAACAACGCGTCGTCAGCAAAGCCGATGATTACCGCACCTTCGGGCAGATCCATTAGCAGAAAAACATCGTAAGATACATTCCATACAAATGGACCCACCCTCGAGCCTTGAGGAGCCCCACGCTGCATCTCTTCCCTATGAGTGCAGGTGTCTCCCTCATATGTAACCCACCTGTCGCTAAGATAATTATCCATTATCCGCAACAAGTAGGGCAGCATGTTTTTCTTTTTCATCGACTCGAGAGATCTTTCCATCTTGCGGAATTAAACGCGTTGCGTATGTCAATTGCTACCAACGCGCAGAAGCTCTTCTTTTTCTCAGGTCCCAATTTGTTTTTTCCTGCTTTGGCTATGTCCACAACTGCCTGGATGGCATCAACTGTGGACTTGCCTTTACGGAAACCAAATTGGTGATCCGATAGACTATTCTCTTTGGTCAAGTGGCTTTGCATTCTCTGCAGAACCATATCCTCTAGAAGTTTACCCATCGTATCCAACAGGCATATAGGCCTGTACGATGAAACCTTATCTAGAGGTTTTTCACCTTTCCTTAGGAGGACTAACCTCTGTCGCTTCCAGTCGCGAAAGAACTCTCCTCTCTCAAGGCAAAGATTGAAGCATCTAAGCAGAATCTGGGATGAAGTGTCGATAACCAACTTTAGGATCTCGTTACTTATCCCATCGATTCCAGGCGCCTTGCCTGTTTTCAATCTTTTGCCTGCTTTTTGTAGTTCACTAAGTGTGAAGAGTTCTTTCTCTTCGACTTTGCAAAAACTCCAGTCCCTTCTAAGGTATGGCTATCTGCAGGAGGAAACAAAGAATCTATTATCTTTCTGACCCAATCGGGATTGTCCAGGCCGGGGGTCTT